GGTATGTGTAAAATTACATGGACTGAGGAGGTTGTATTTATATATTTAGGAACACAAGGATGTGTGTGTTTGTGTGTGTGTGTGTGTGTGTGTGTGTGTGTGTGGTTTGTGTGTGTGCGCACACGTGCTTGCACAGGTGTGCAACAACAATAGAATAAAAAGGCCATCAATTTGAGCTGCAGGCAGAGGTACATGGGAGGGGTGGGATGAGGAAAGGGAAGGAGGCAAACGATGGGACTGTAGAATTGCTGGGTATAGTTTTTGTGTGCTCTGGGGAAAACCCAGACAGAGATATGCATCACAAGGCCTTGCCTCCAGTAAAAGGAATGCATGGAGAATGCAGGGACAAGGAGGACTGTGCACACCTCAGGAGGCTCTGGCTGAGGGATCCCGTCTCTCTGCAAGGGAGAGCAGATCTGAGATGAAGAGGTGAGGAACTAGAGAGGATAAAATGTTGAAGTATTAAAGTGCTGAAGGAACCTCTCTGACCAATGAGGAAGCTACAGAAAGAATCCAGAAGGCATCTGGCAGGTAAACTGAGGCAGAAAGGCTCCCATCCCAGCCAGGCTTTCAGATCTTCCTCTGAGTCCCAGGGAAAGGGCTAGGATTCTTGGCATTGAGGACTTGTGGATTATAGAGAATCCTCTAGATTTCTACCTACGAGAAAAATCCCTGAAAATCCCCTGGAGATCCAGTTGCCTGAGGGCCAGCTAAGGAGCCAAGCCACTGGTGTGCTCAGCGCTGGCTCACTTGGCTGCAGACCACTGAGGGGACTGTGAGGAGGGTACAGATAGGACCTCTGAAATAGATTGGGCCTCCCCTAACTCAGCTACAAACATCCCAGGACACCCTGCTGGACACCAGCTGGAAGGACCTTTCCTCTTTGTCACATGCCTGTCCCCATTAGCTGCCTGAGCTGGCACTGAATGACGCTATTCAGAAATTACCCCCTTAAGGTAGCCTTTCTTGTTTGGTTTCAGTGCTGTGTAGCCTTGGGCCAGCACAGAGAGTGTGAGGAGATTGAGAGCTGTCTGCAGCTTCTGAGAGAGTAGTGATGCCTCCAACCTTGCAGCTGTCAATCATCATCCTCACCTGGGATGTGGTGTTGAGGATAACCAGGCTCACAATGTGCAAGGGAGGCTTGTTCCCTTTGGAGCATAGAGTACCTAAATTTGAATGTCATGATATTACCAGGGATTTAGGTTAATATTCCTCTACACTCTAGGAGTCAAGAGGCTCCTTCTAGAATAACTGACTAAATGGTAGTCTGGAGTAACCAACCAGTCCATCATTCCTGAACCCACAATGTGGGTACTAATAAAAACAGCACCAATAGTTTTTCAGCTCTAAGTGCTTGCCAGGTGACAGTACTTCAGTCACAGCAGGAGCCCACATGCAGGACTTTGTGGGGAACCTGCCAAATTCACCCAAAGTGAATCCAGGACCCATTTCTAGGTCCAAAGTCTGTGCTCTTAGCTACTAGGTCATATCTACTCTGTTGTCCTCAGGGACAACTTTTGCTGGAGAAAACTTTATCCTGCCATGTCAAAGAGTGGGAAGGCAGACGATTCAGGAGACTAATGTGTAATGGTTTTTGCAGCAGAAGGGAGAAACGGGTTCAACTGTGCAGTGAGAGTGGGAACGTGTAAACAAGAAGGTGGATGGTTCATGTAGGGCCAGGGTTGATGGGCAGAAATTTGCTCAGAGGGTAAGTGCTGAGTTTTGAATGATGTGCTCCCACAAAAGCTCCCACAAAAGAGATCCATGTTCAGGGAAAACTCAATATGCAAATTCATATGCTGATAGTATTTCGAGGGGAGGCCCCTGGGAGGTACTTAAGAGTTGATAAATGAATTAGGGTGAGGCCCCTGTGCTAGCATTAGTGACTCTATGAAAAGAGGAAGAGACACCTAAACTAGTACACTTGTCTCATCTCGCCCCGTAATGTTTTTCAGTGATACTTTTGACACGTGTCATACGTGTTTACAGCCTGGCAGACCTGTGTGAGGACTGGGAAGGAGGGGGACATGTTTGTTCTTTCCTCCCACACAGTGTGGCCTGATGGGTCTCTGCTTTACTTTTGGTCTTAGTTTTAATGGCGTTTTTTTTTTTTTTTTTTTTTTTTTTTTTTTTTTTTTGATGACCATTACCCATACTTCTAGGGAAATAGTTTAGTCAGGGTCAAGTTTAGGTTGAGTACAGTAGCCCCTCCCATCCACAGGGATGAGAGAGTGTCATCACAATGGATGTCTGAATCCCTGCATAAGACTGAGCCCTATCTGCGCTGCTTTTGAAAAATAGCCGTGCATACCCATGATAAAGCTTCATTTATAAGTAGGCGCAGTACAGATTTATAATGTCCTGCAGATCATAGCAACCTTAGCACAGTTCTCAACATTTTATTAAGCCAAGAACTTTCGCCTTATCATATTAAAGGAAGAACCTTACGCGTTGGGGCCATAACTGAGGTTTAATAATGACCTGGATATAAGTACTACAATTACCTTGATGGTCCATCTGATAACTCGAGATGCTTATTAAGTGACTAACGGGCAGGTATAATGGGCAGGTATATACACTGTTGCCACTGGGAAAGAATGGTCCCCTTGCTGTGGTAAAAAGAGAGCCAGGAAAGTAGGGCAGCACAGGATGATTTAAGATTAGAATTGATAAGCCGGGTTTTGGTGGCACACACCTTTAATCCCAGCACTCGGGAGGCAGAGGCCAGCCTGGTCTACAGAGGGAGTGCCAGGATATGCTCCAAAGCCACAGAGAAACCCTGTCTCGAAAATTCAATAATAATAAAAAAAAGAGATTAGAATTGATGACTTGTTGATTCCTAGGACTTCCCATCGGAAATTTTAGACTATGGTTGGTTATTAGTAACTGAAAACCTATGAAACAAAACCATGGGTAAAGGAGACTACTCTAATGGTATTTCAAAAACACAGTGACATAATCATCTTTTTCTGTCTCACTTGGAATTTCCAAAAAAGTAAAATGTTATCTAGCTGTTGCTTGTTCTCAGTGTGCCCCTTCCCAGGCAACTGCTTTATCATGAGGACTCTGCCATGTTTTCCCTCCATTGCACAAGACATGTCTTGCCGAAAGTGGCTTCTTGAGATCCAGCTATCAAGTCTGAGTTCCCTCTAGCAGGAGGCAGAAGGAATATATCTGGATGTACCAGGTGTCACTTAATACAAGTCTCTTGAGCTGCCCAATGGCTTTTCTGACACCCCCTCAGTCAGAACTTGTGCACAAAACCTCACTTTGCTCACAACTGCCGAGGAATCTACTTTTTATCCTGGAAAGCGATGCACGTGACGCACCTAGGTTTCCTCTACCAGCTGAAGTTGGAAGGAACTCTGAGTACAGCCATCTCTACGAGAGATGTACTTTTTCCCCCTCATTGATCAGACTGCTTCTTAACCTCTGAGAGAAGGGAGCCGGGTCTGTCCTGTTACCCCTGGTGGAGCCTAAGCTTCTCCCGAAGCTGTCTTGAGGATACAGCAACAATATAAAACTTTTATACTGGAGATGTTGTAGAGTGGAGGCTATAGACCCGTTCAAAGGAGACAGTTAGCTTTGAAAGGCTGATGGATTCTAGGCTGATTGGAATGGCAAAGGAAAAGTAAAGCCCATTACTGAAAATAAATGCAATCATGTTTGAGGAGAGTGTGAACAGAGGAAAATCTAAAACTTAAAAAGTCTGGGACATGAGCTGTTTCCTGATGTGAGGGCTTTTCTGGATCTTTGACTAGAGGCAAGGAAAGGGCACTCCAGCTTGGAGGCTCCTGACAGTCACCAGCAGGCCATTGAACTTCCTGAGGTTGTGATAACATCTGAAAATCTTGGTGAGGGTTTCCTTGGGTCCTTTTTTTTCCTTTTTTTTTTTTTTATCATTTTTTTTATTTGAATTAAAAACAAGTTTGATTTACATGACAATCCCAGTTCCCTTCTCCCTCCCGTCCTCCCCTACCACCCCCCACTCCCCTCCCCCGCAACTAAAACCCTACCTATCACATACCCTTTCTTCTATTCTTCACCTGACTCAACATTTCTGCTCTCCTTGGGTCCTTGTAAGTTCTGATTGTCCACTAGATTTTCAAGTCAACAGCAGTGAGGGGACCCATAGTACCCAGTTCCCAGGACAGAAGGTGACATTCAGGTAAAGAAGAGGCATGCAGAGCCTCAGTAGGAACAGTATTGGCCATGTACCTACGCTCTGGGATTTGTTGCTCAGGCAGTTCCTATTTTCCATCCATATCCTTGTGAACTTTACAAAATGTCACCATCATACCTCCTGGGGAATCAATCTAGCTGGAGCAAGTAATTTGGAAATTCACCAAGAGCTGAACACTCCACAGTGGTGTTCCTCACTAGTTCATGGGAGTCACTGGCGCTCTGTCTGTCTGACATTGTCAGTGAATTCTTCTAGAACTGAGAGATGCTTTGGGGCACATCTTCAGATCATTGCATCTTCAGAAGAGGAGGTCGCTTAAATTTAGTGATTTAAGAAATAGATAGGAGGGCTGAAGAGATGGCTCAGAGGTTAAGAGCACTGACTGCTCTTCCAGAGGTCCTGAGTTTGGTTCCCAGCAACCACATGGTGGCTCACAACCATCTGTCATGAGATCTGGTGCCTTCTTCTGGTGTGCAGATATACAAGCAGAATGTTGTATGCATAATAAATAAATAAAATCTTAAAAAAAGGAAGAAATAGATGGGAGCTGGAAGAGAGAGGACAGAGTAAAATTAAGGTGCTAGACTGGTCAGAAGTGAGTGTGAGGCAGAATTAGCCCTTGTGTTGTCTAAATTCAGGGCAAGTGCTAATATCATGAACACTGCTCTCAGCGTTTTAGCTTCTCAGTTGTTAAAAAGCTGCGATGTCTAGAGACACAGTGACGAAGTGCATTGCTGTGGCCCTAGGAAGCTGCTTCTGGAGGCTTTGATCTACCAACCTCTGAATATCAGTTTGCTTTCAAGTTACATATTTGAGAGTGCTCACTTTGGCAGGACATATGTTCAAGTTGGAATAACACAGAGAGGATTAGCATGGCACTGGGCAAGGATGACATGCAGACTCAAGAAGTATGTGACATTTAAAAATATGAATTATGTATTTGAGTACATAGATCCACCACTGTAGGTATATATACGTCAAACCTTAGGCTTGAAGTCTCTTAGCACAATGCTTTGTGTGAAGTACTATGTCATTTAAGTATATCTGTTTTAAAGTATGGCATTCATACATCACAAAGAGACCAACATTTTCCAAAAGAAAGCAGATAATTATTTTAAATTCCCTGACTTTTCAGTTCCTACATGATCTGAAAAACCATTTTTAACAAAGATACCATTAAAATTGAACTGAACTGGAATCCAGATGCAGAGAAGGAGAAGTGATGAGCAAAGGGGTCAAGACCACGTTGGTGAAACCCACAGAAACAGCTCACCTGAACAAGAGGGAACTCTTGGCCCCCAGACTGATCACTGGGAAACCAGCATGGAACTGATCCAGCCACCATAAATGTGGGTGTCAGTGAGGAGGCCTCGGAAATCTATGGGGCCTCTTGTAGTAATCAGTACTTATCCCTAGCGTAGGAATGGACTTTGGGATCCCATTTCACATAGAGGGATACTCCCTCAGCCTAGACACATGAGGATGGGCCTAGGCCCTATCCCAAAGGATATGAGAGACTCTGAATATGAGAGACTCTGAAGACCCCCCCCATGGAAAGCCTCACTCTCCCTGGGGAGCAGAAATGGTATTGGATAGGTAGGGTGTTAGTGGGGGCCAGGGGAGGAGGGGTGGCAACTGGGAAAGACATGCAAAACAATCTTGTTTCTAATTTAAATAAAAGTTAATTAAAAATACCCCATAAAAGGCAAATAGAAGCAAGTAGAGCATATGCACTTTTTACGGAAAAATGATATTTTTTAAATTAAAATTAGATCTTCCTTTGAGTCTTCCATTATGTTCTTAGTTGGAAAATAGGAAAATAAAATAGGTTCAAGTTTTTATTGGGTGGTATTAAATGAGTCTCCTGGCATTTTGAAAACAAGGCACTGTGAAGGGAGCAGTGATTGAGACATGCAGGGCAAGGAGCTGAAGTATCAAGTCCCCCAGAGCCACCACCTGGCCATGAGCCTGTGCTTGCTCCCTGTGCTCCCTGGCCACAGTGGGGAGGGAGGGAGGGAGACTTTGGATCCCAGGGACACACAGGCTCACCTTCATATTCATATTTTGTGAGCTGGGAAACCTAGATGGTCCAGAGAGAGCTTTCCTTGCAAAGCAGTGTCCCTCACAACTGATTGCCGCATGACTCTGTGAGTGAGTGTGTGTGTGTGTGTGTGTGTGTGTGTGTGTGTGTGTTTGTGTGTGTGTGTGTTTGTGTGTGTGTGTTCTCCTTTTGAGTAAGAGACTTTTTGCTGAGTGCCAGGTATTATGCAAACAAACCTCCCACTCTATTGCTGGGACAGTGCGCTCTCTCTCTCTCTCCTCTCTCTCTCTCTCTCTCTCTCTCTCTCTCTGTGACTCAAAGGAGGAGATCTGATAGCTCAAGTGAGGTTTCAGCCTGCCTGTGGCCACTCCACCTTTGGTAGGTGCCTAGATCTTGCCAGGAAAAAAAAAGTAAAGAAAGAGGGCAGGCGGCTTGGTGAAGTCATCCCTGGTGACACCTTCTCACACGACTTCAGGGAAAATGCTGGGCCCCTGGGCAGCACTCCCGCCCAGCTGCCTGTCACGGTGCCGGTGCCGGAGTGAGAGGTGACCTCTTTATTTTTAGCAGGGGGGCTGTCATAATAGTCCACTGCTCTGCTTCATTCAAGCCAAGAGGCTGGCACTTGGCAAGTTTGTAAACACCGACTTTCTGAGTAGAGTAGGAGTACTTTTCTCCGGAAGGGGAAGAATCCCCTGCTCTCTTCTGAGAGTCTGCCTGTGGGAAAACCAGCATTCTCTGGTTGTCTTAGCTGTGGCAAGCAGGTGCTGCTGTAGTTATTCTTAAAAGGGCAGAAATGCCTGAAGGCGATGACTGTGGGCGAGGCAGAAGGTAAGTATGGCATTTTCTTTTTCTGGAGTCTGTTTCATTGTTGTTCATCTTAAATGTATTCTGACAAATTTAAATATGTTTAAATGAAAATTACAACTCTAGGAAATTTTCTTTGGCAGAAGTTAACAGAAGAGAGACAAAATTAGCAATATAAGCTTAGAAATACATTCAAAGAAGTGTTGGTTTTTCCTTGAATAAGGAAATACTGGCCTGGGACTTTTAAAATTCATTCCCTCATGTACAATGCAAGTCTCTTTGAAGTTTTTGATGTTTCATTGATTGTGGTTGAAATCTAGGCTCACAGTTTTTTTCAAGTTTGCATTTTAAAGATTTGAGACGCAGTTGTAAGAGTTGAGTATTAGTTTATCAATTTTGATATTTAAACACTTCTTAAGCTATAAATGTTGAAAATGTGATTAGTGCCCTGCCATGTAGTGCATGGTTGTGAATGTTTTCTCTTGCTCTTTTACTGCTAAGAGGTGGGTACCAGGAGGGCAATGATGTAGGTAGGTGGTATGTGCTGGCTTTAGGATAGCTGCACCCATGCAGTCTTCCATCCAGCCCAAACAGATATTACAGGAATCCAGTCCCCTTAGGAAACAGAGAGAGATCATGGATCATCTTATTATCAAAGAAACAGAAGTCTAGGAACAAGAGCCCCTCAGGCTGTTTCTGTAAACCATGGCCTAGGGTGTGGTTTGTGTGGGGGCTATTTCACCAGTTGTGATAGCTCCCTTAAAGGTTGCATTTCTCTGAGGTTCTCTAGTTTCTATTTTTCCCAAATTCTATTAAACGAGAAAGAAACAGATTGGCATTATATTGAGAAACTTTCTACACAAAATGAGACCAGCTGTAGCGCCTTTGTAACAGTGCATGACACTGTCTGTGGATTAATTGGCTAACTACGAGAACGTTTTTAGAGACATTTAAATGTCTGTATTGGATGATAGGTTGCCCGTGGATGTCATACATTTATTTTCCCAGGCATCTGAGCATTCCCGAAGGGAAGGCTTTCCCTTTCCTCTAACCCCTAGGCATTCCCACCAGCTCCCCTGAGTAGAGTTTTACACAGCTAGGCATTTTAAAGGAATGCTTGGCAAATGGAAATGCATTGATAAACCATTTTTACACCAGAGGCCCAGGAATCTTTATCATCTGACAGTTCAAGGAGAGAGACTTGGCACAAATGGATTGAAGGCTGCTCCCATGAGAAGCAGCATTATCAGAATTATTAAATAGTAACTAGTTGTTGATAAGGAATATCTTGAGCTATTTGTGATGTGAACTGAGCAAACTTTAGCTTTTTCTCTGAAAGTTTCATTAATAAAAAACAAACAGATTAAAAGGAGCTTATGTGTGCCCACACATAAATATATACATGATTATTATTGTTGTCCTCAAGAACTGCAATAGTTTGTATTGCAAGTGAAAACCCCTCTCACTCCTGTGAGGTAACATATTCCTGGCTCTCGTTTTTTTTTATTCGGATGAGGTCATGTTCATTGCCGACACTTGGTGGATGTTATTCTTTGCTTTGTCTCCTATACTTGTTGGTTTTTCCTTTCTCTATGTAGAAATGGTGACAGATTGGAGCCAGCCTAGAAATAAAATATTTATAGTTGGGAGAGCTTTTTCCTCTTGCTAAATTTGAGATTACATGCCTTTGGATAAGTCTGTTGGTGCCATGTCTAAAAGAGAAGTAACTGTTGTAAGTCACGAATCTGCTGACAGACACGTTCTCTGAACTTCATTTTGGCAATTCCTAATTGACTCTCACATCAAGGCTGATTATGTTACTTGAATCTCCTTTCGTAATTGATGATCTGGATTGCTCGGTAACTGCCAGAGAGTTAAATAAGAGTTTGGTCTTTCATGAAACCAAACCAAACAACAACAACAAAACCCCCCAAACCAGTGAAATCCACAGGATAAGGATGTCTGTCATGAAATGGGATGTGAGCCTCAGTAATCACAGGCACCCTCTGCTAGGTGACTTATAGTCCAGTGGCTTCAGGTACCTGGAGTCACCTGATGAAAGAAGAAAAACTCTTTTTGTCTTTAACCAGTAGTGAATGCTGTTAGTAAGAACACTGAGAGAATCACAGCCAGTTTCAAGGTCAAGAGCCAAGGGGGAAGAGCAAGAAAACCTTTCTGAAGCAGGTCCCAAAAGGTAGATAGATATCTAAGCAAGAAGCTCTGGATGCCAAAGAAGAAGGGGAAAAACCAGGAAGGTAGACTAGCTCCAGGCATGTGGGAAAGCTTATATGGTAGCCTGAGGCCTGCTGGTTCCTTATCTAACCTCATTTGGTTCCTACCTTGGAGTAGCAGCCAAGCTGGCCCTGGGAGAGACCCTGACTAGATTGGTGAAGGGGGTGTGAGTGAATCATCCATCTCCCATTCCAGATGACATGGAAGGAGATGGGCCTGAGGCATGAGGATGGGACCCGTCTAAACATGAAACTCATTTTATGCTTTTAATGTGTTTTGTCATGAAAGCACTTTGACTGGGTAATTATGTTCACACATTTAGCTGCTCACAAAGTAGAAATTTGTTGAGTTCTGACTCTTGACTAGTGGCTACACTAGGTGATAGGTTGGCAGGTGTGGGCCCTGCTGTCTTGGAGCAAGCCGTCTGAGTGGGAAGATGGCACAGGGTGAAACAGTCAGCAAGCAAGAGCACTTCGGGTCGGAGGGCCAAGGATACAGTGGTAGCGTTCGAGAACACCTAGTGTATGTGCTGAAGCTCAGGTGTCTCCGAGGGGAAAATGTGGCAATTCTGGACTGCAGGGCATTGCTGTCATTCTCCTTGCAGGGTGGTAAAGATGTAAGTTCGTTTGCAAAGGCCACCAAGACTCTAGAACTGTGAATTCAATTTGCATTTTCAGATCTTTCTGTTGTTCTCTGCTGTAGAGTGGTGGGCTGCTTCATCACTTCTCCGAAATCCACACAGCCGGTAGCTATGGATTTCAGGGCCTTCCATACCTTCTCTACATTTTTGGCATATTTGCATATCTGTAATTAGATATCTTGGGGATGGGATCGATGTCTAAACAT